AGCCGGGCGTAGCCGCCAGCCAGTCAGGGAGCCTCAGTCTCCACTCGGCGGGTGTTAGCAGCCGCCCAGCCCGCTCCTGCGGCCCTGCCCGCGCTCTGCTGGGCAGGGGGGACTCGGCGTAAGTGACCCGCGTGTGGCCGACCCGCCGCAGGCAGAAGCGCCGGGGAATCAGCCGGTCGGCGCCGCGAGCTCTGCAGGCCAGGTGGGTTGGGAGTCCCGGCCTAGGCTGGGGTCAAAGCTGAACGAGTCACCCACGCGAGGGATGTTAGGGACTAGTCAAATAGTGGACTACCCAATAGAAGCACATGCTTACCAGGTAGTCGAGTCACTACTTAATTAATTGCTTCCTCCCCCTCCCCTTGATGACTCTGTTAGAGGCAGCAAGGTGGGGGGCGGGGAGAGCCTGTGCTGGAGGGATCCAGCTTAAAACTTGTTCCCCCCAGTTCCGTGTCTGCAGAGGGCCTGTGGAGGAAAAGGCCCAGCGGGGAACTGGACTGGAGCCAGGAATCAGCTGCCTCATCTGGTGTTTGATCCCAGATGCTGTGCCTTTGCTTTTTAAATGGAGTAAGAGCCCAACCTCTCTTACTCCTTTTAAAAGGCAGAGCCACAACAGGGTTAGCTCCAGGGACAGGAGCAAACCATGTTGCAGGTCTGCAGTTCCCCCCTTTATTGACTAGTTGACTCAATTAGCTAATTAAATGCAATTTAACATCCCTACCATGCACCCACTCAGCCCTCCTGCAGTGTAAGTGCTCCTCTAGCAACCACATGGTCATACAACTGCCTTGTTCATCTATGCAGGCAGGCAATCAGACACTTCTTCAGCCACACAGGTATGTGATCAGGTCAGCCATGCAACTGCCCACTCACCCTAGTTCACACATTTATCTGTGTAGCCAGCCAGCTATTTCACCAGCCACACAGCTACCCGTCCAGCCATGCAGCTGCCTAGCCATTACTCCCAATGAAGCGCAACCTACCCGCTCCTCCAGCCATGCAGCCACCAACCCATCTCCCTACCTGTTTGGCAGTGCAAATGCCAGCCACGCGTACAGTCATGCAGCCACCAACCACCTATATAGCCACCTGTCTATGCATCCATCCAATTATGTAACTACCCAGCTTTCCAAGCAGCCATCCACCTGCACAACCACAGAGCTTCCCACCCTTCTAACCATGCAGCTGCACAGCCACTGTCCATCCTCCCAGCTGTTCAGCCACCAAGCCTTCCCACCATCCATCCACGTTCATTCATCGAGCCGTATGACCACCCATCCATTTGACTCACCATCTACCAGCCTGTTCATCCGTACAATCATCTATACACCTGCCCACTAACTCAGCCACTCACTTTCCCACTCAGTCCCCCCTTCCCACTCAATCATCCATGTAGCCATTTGAAGAGCCATCTAACCATCCTGCTGCCCATACAACTGCTCACTCAGTTAGTAATCCCCCTATGCACATCTGCCCATGCTCCCAGCCAACCAAATGCCCATTCATTCATACACTCGCCCACCCATTCTAGACTTATTTACTCTCAACCATTTGCCAAATCACATACGTCACCAGTCACACACCAAGTCTCTCATCCCACTCTCCTGCTCCTGACTGTCTCTCAACCCATTTTTCCATTCATCTCCCAACCCACAAACCCTCTCCTTCACATCTGCACATTCAACTGCTTTTTGAGTCATCCCTCCACCCATTTACCACTCAACTTTAAAAGTTATAGTTCATTTATTATATAGTACCACAGTTTTCCTGAGCTGATGAAGACTGTCTTGTCCATTAGAGCTTACCCTCTTGGTCCATCAAGTACTTGCTAGACATTTACAGACAGCTAGCTGGTCACAGGATGTTAATTCACTTTCTTGCTTTCACCTGCTTGATGCTTTTAAAAAAGTAAAAAATACATTCGACACTTTCCTTATGCTACTTTTCTATGTGAGCATTTGCAGTAATTGATACAGGAATGTATTCAACAGAAAGGGAGGGTCCATGAGAGAATCTCTCCAGTAAGAGTTGATCCATAGTATGAAATAGTTTTGAGAGCCCTTGCTATAAGGTAAGAAAGATGATAGATAGCACAGGGAGAGTTCAGGGAGAGAAAGGATGAGGATGAAGATAATACAATTATTCAGTTGACTGGGAATGTCCTGTATTTTTCTTTAGGATTATGCAGGTAGATGGATAGGACTGTGTTTGACAAGAGGGGCTTGAAAAAATGGATTTGCCTGTGGCCAGTTGGAAGAATTCTGCAGTATATAAACTACCATTTAAAAATAAATTCATTCTTTTTGTTAGGAAGATAAGCAAATGTGAACCATGTGCAAACTGATGCAGTACTTCCACTTGGATCTTCTATACCTGAAGAAATTCTGCGCCAAAAATTATGAATTATATACACAATATTTTAAAGTTCTGAAAAATTCCACATATCTAACTTGTCAAAACAACACTTTATAATCATTCCAGTTACAGTTATTTTGGTAATTTATTTCAAAATATTTGTCAAAAAGTATGTCTGTAACAATACAGACACACAAAATCCCCCCAAAGGAAGAGAGTTAAATAAATCCCATAGGAAAACCCAGTTCCTGTTTTTCTCCCCCCCTTCCTTTCGGAACCTATGTATGCAGAGGGAGAAGCAGTCTGATGCTAAGTCGGGATCTTACACGGCATTACCTGCATGTCGCCTCCTTCCTTCAGGGCAAGCCAGAAACTAACTGTGGGAACGTTCCAGCTCCTCCCCTCTCCTCTGTTGTGGGGGAATGGGAAAGGATATTTTGCACAGAACATTAATTCAGCACAAATTCTGCGTTGGAGAATGGTACGGAATGCCCTAGGGGTAATCTTCAGATAAACAGTTTGTGTTTCTAATATGCTGCTGCTCAAGGTGAAAACTGCAGCACAGCCAATGTTAAACTGTTATGTCCGTTTATGTAGCTGGTATTCAGAACCCTCTGGGTAACTGTCAGAAATCAGTTTAATTTTACTCCACTTCAGCTGCTTACAGGTACTTGAGAAAGCTTTGAACAGTTGTAAAAGGAAGCACTTTTCACTGGGGAGAAGGACTCAGACAGAAGCTATGGTGGGGTCGGGGGGGCAGGGGGAGAGGAGTATACCAAGGTATCTTCATCTTTGAGTGGTCCGGGAGGGATTAGAATAGAGGTGTCCACATACAGCTTGATATGCTGTGTACCATTTTGAGCAGCTTCCTGTGACCATTCCAGTGATGACACAGCATTGTTTGTTGGTTGTGATCTCTAAAGTCCTAAAAATATTTAAGTTACTATGGTAACTACCTTGGGTCATTGCTTCTGGAAAGTTCTAAAGAGGGTGAAGTGGGCTGGATGTAAGTTCTAATAAGTTAGCCTAAGTGAGAGGGTTGACTTGAGATAGAGTTGCTTGGTTGACTTTCACGTTAGAAAGAGAGCTTTAAAGCAGGAGTATTGAGATCTACTGTAGAGACTCACCTTGATACGTGCTGATTGAGAGAGCCTGTTTCAAAGCTCAGAGATTAATTACTGGAAGGACTCGGTTATTGAGTATACAGGGATGTCCCAGAAGGTGTCAGAGAGCTTATTGAAGAATTCTCTCTGACTTTGGATAGTATTTAGTTTTGTTGCAATTGACATCTGTGTATCTAATAAACATTTATCCTTTTATCATTTTGAAATTATTTGTAAATACTATTTGTTTTATATTGCTTTATTTGTGTCTCGTTTTAGCAAAAGTAGATGAAATCTGGGCTGTATTCCTGTGTGCCTTTTAGGAAAGTCACCTAATCATTCTCTGGCAACTGGGATAGTATTTTCCCATTCTACTAGGTATGTTTTTAAAGTCTTTTGAGGTTTTTTTTTTGGAAGGTATTATGCAAGTAATTTATTATTTTTAAATTATTAATCTGGGCTAAATTAAAAAAGTGGTATAAAAGACAATTCAGGGGAAGAGCTTATAGGTAGGGGTTGGTAAAATCAACAAAAGAAAACTTGGATGTTTAACCCTTGTTCTGAATCCAGAATTGTCATATTGTTAGACTAAAGGAGAGCTGTTAGTGTATACTTTTCTTTTTTTGGGGAATGAAAGATAGATGATAGATATGAGGACAAAGATAGACTACAGCCCCTCCCTGAACAGTTCCTTTTTGCGCAAAACCCCCCTTTTTGCGAAAGAGCTGTTCTTCCTCAAAAAATGGATGAGGGATTTGGGGCATGATAGGGGGCTCTGGGCTGGTGTAAGAGGGTTTGGATGTGGGAGGGATGGGCTCTGGGTGTAGGGATGGGCTCTGAGTGGGGCCAGAAATTAGGGGTTCAAGATATGGGACAGGGCTCCAGGCTGGGGCATTGGTGTGGAGGTGAGGGCTCTGGCTGGGGCCTGTGGGCAGGGATGAGGGGTCATGGGTTACAGGAGAGAGGTCAGGGTTGATGTGTGAAGACATAGAATTATAGGATTGGAAGAGACCTCAAGAATGAGAAAGAACAGCTCTTGTGCAAAAGGGATCGGAGGAGGAAATGCAAACGAGAGCGCGACATATGCAAATGAGCACTCCATTTGCATTTCCTCTTGCAGAAGAGCATTGTAGTATAGATTTAGCTCTGGAGTCCTGGGCTCCCTTTTTTACAGTATGGTCTGCTTTGCTTCCCTCACTCCACTTAATGCTGAACAGAGGGAGAGGACAGGTGAGAGCTGCCTCTGCTGATGCAGACAAAACTCCCTGTTCCTTTGATTGCCTCATAGTCTCAGGCAGCACTATCAGTGGAGCAAAGTGATCTCTCTGCAGGGCATAGAAAACAGAGCACCAGGCATGGCACTTGCAGTCCAAAGCCTGCAGCAGCCTTCAGTGGCTGCAAAGAGAACTGCAGCATCAGTTACAGTTCAGGCAGAAATTTTGGCCTGCCTGTGCTTCTTGTGAGAAGCTTGTTTGCACAATTTCAGCACTCACCAAAATATGAGGAGAGTTGGTCACTGCAGTGGTATTTAGCTTTCAGTACAACCAAAACAAAAACCCTGGAATTACCCAACAGGAAAACAGGCAGCTAGCTAATTATGTGCGGTAGATATGAAAGACTGACCAAAATGTATGCAGGCTTGAGATGAAATCGACTCACTTTCAACCCTGAGACCACAACACAGGGGCAGTAGTGGAGTTCTCATGTAGCTGCCATTCTACTTGAGCCAAATGTAAAGGAAGTTTGT